GTTCTGCTGTGCATGGGGTCGCTATGAGTCGGTTCCGACTCGATGGCACCTGACAACAACAACAACAAAAGGTATGCTGAATCCCTAATGCCTGGATCTTACCAGTTTTCTGTCAGTTTGTCACACTGTGGTGGCCTGTGAGTTGTTGTGATGCTGGAAACTATGCCCTCAGTATTTTAAATACCATCAGGGTCACCCATGGTGGAAAGGTTTCAGCTGAGCTTCCAGCCAAAGACAGACTAGGAAGGAGGGGCAGATCACTTCTAGATGCTTAGCCACTGAAAGTCTTATGAACAGCAGTGGAACACTGTCAGCACCAGAACATTGAAAACACAGCGAAAGCCCCAGAATATTATCAGATACAGTGCCAGAAGATGAGCCCCTCAGGTTGGAAGGCACTCAAAATATGACTGGGGAAGAGCTGCCCCCTCAGAGTAGAGTTGACCGTGATGACATGAATGGAGTAAAGCTTTCAGGACCTTCATTTGCTTTGGAGCACAACTGAAAATGAGGAGAAACAGCTGTAAACATCCATTAATAATCGGAACCTAGAATGTACGAACTATGAATCTAGGAAAATTGGGAGTCATCAAAAATGAAATGTAACACATAAAGATGGACATCCTAGGCATTCCTGTTGTTATGGTTAGGTGACATCGGGTGGGTTCCGACTCACAGCGACCTTATGCCACGTTTCGAGCCATCCTCACAACTGTTGTTATGTTTGAGCCCATTTTTGCTGCAACTGTATCAGATCACTTTGTTGAAGAACTTCCTCTTCCTCACTGACCCTCCACTTTACCAAACATGATGTTCTTCTTCAGGGACTGGTCCCTACTGATAACATGTCTGAAGTGTGAGAGATGAAGTCTGGCCATCATGGCTTCTAAAGAGCATTCTAGCTGCACTTCTTCCAACACCGATCTGTTTATTCTTCTAGCAGCATGCATATGAGATATTGAAAATGCCATGGCTTGGATCAGGTGCACCTTACTGACATCTCTTCAAACTGACATCTTTTCTCTTCAACACTTTAAGGAGGTCTTGTGCAGCAGATTTGTCTAATGCAATACGTGGTTTGATTTCTTGACTGCTGCATCCATGAGTGTTGATGGTTGACCCAAGCAAAATGAAGTCTTTGACAACCTCAACTTTTTCTCCTTTGATCTTGATGTTATTTATTGGTCCAGTGATGAGGATTTTTGTTTTCTTTACATTGAGATGCAACCCATACAAAAGGCTGTAGTCTTCGATCTTCATCAGTAAGAATTTTAAGTCCTTTAAACTTTCAGCAAGAAGAGTTGTACCATCTGCAAATCCTAGGCATTAGTGAGCTGAAATGGACTGATGTTGGTCATTTTCAGACAGACAAGCTCATGATTTGCTATACTAGGAACAAGATATTGAAGAGAATGGGGTCACATTCATCATAAACATGAACATTTCAAGATTTATCTTAAAGTATGATGCTGTCTGTGGTAGGAAAATACTCATATGCCTACAAGGAAGATCGAGCCCTAGTGTGGCAAGGCAGGATAAGCACTGGGATAGTAATCACAAGGTTGGTAGTTCAAACCCACCACCTACTCTTGGAAACCCAACACAGTGTCACTATGAGTGGGAACAGACTTAACAACACACAAGCACAACAGGGGAAATTAATTCTTACCACTATGATTCCAATTTACACACTGACCGCTAAAGCCAGTATGATGAAATTGAAGAATTTTAAGCAACTTCATCAATCTAAAATTGAATCAAACATGCAATCAAGATGCATTGATCATTACTGGTGATTGGGACACAAAAGTTGGAAACAAAGAATAAGTATCAATAGTTGGAAAATATGGCCTTGGTGATAGAAATGAGGCTGGAGATGGTATGACAAACTTTTGTGGAACCAATGACTTATTCATCACAAACACCTTTTTTCAACAGTACAAAATGTGACTATACACATGGACCTCACCAGATGGAATACACAGAAATCAAATTGACTACATCTATGGAAAGAGACGGTGGAAACGCTCCATATCCTCAGTCAAAACAAGGCCAGGGGCAGACTGCGGAACAGACCATCAATTGCTCATATGCAAGTTCAGACTGAAGATGAAAAACACTGTATCAAGTCCACGAAAAGCAAAACATAACCTTGGATATATCCCATACGAATTCAGAGGCCATCTCAAGAACAGATGTGATGCATTAGGCACTGATGACCGAAGCCCAGAGGAGTTGTTGAGTGGCATCAAGAACATCATACAGGAAGTAAGCAAAAGGTCATTAAAAAGAAAGAAAAGACCAAAATGGATGTCAGAAGAGACTCTGAAACTTGTTCAGAAGCTAAAACAACTGGAAGAAATGAGGAGGTAAAAGAACAGAACAAAATTTCAAAGAGCAGTTCAAGAAGACAAAAATAAATCTTACAATGACATGTGAAGTTAGGACACCAAAAGGAAAAAACACACTCAGTATTTCTCACACTGAAAAACTTCAAGCCTCAGGTGGCAATAATGAAGGATTTTATGGGCAAAATGGAGCCCTGGTAGGGTGCTGAAAGATAAACACTGGACTGTTAACTGCAAGGTCAGTGGTTCAAACCCACCAGCCACTCCTAAGAAACTCTACACAGGGTCCCTATGAGTCCACAGTGACTCAACTGCACTCAACAACAACAACATAACAGGCAAAATATGGAATGATGTAGGAAGCATCAAAAGAAGATGGAAAGAACACATAGTTATTGTGCCAAAAAGAATTTCATGTGCAAGTTGGAAAATGCGTAAGGAAGACCATAGAAAAGTCAATGCA